AATCCATAAATCTCGCAAAGTCTCGAGGAGTCCGAGATTATATCAAATTCATACTGAAAAGCCTATCAGATTCATTTCCCGTTATATATACTGTTCCCAGATATAATGTACTGTTGTTTCAAATTACACTTATTACAACAAAAAACCAAAGTTGGGCATGTAAATATAAGATAATTAAAAATTTGGGTATGTAAATATTTTTATAAATACAAATATCATATGGCTATGAAGTTTAAAGTATTAACAATACAAATGTGGGTATGTTGATATAAACCAGTTTAAATGTGGTTAATTATATATAATTAAAAATGTTGATTCCTAAATCTTATAGATAATTGCTAAATGATTAAAACCAACCATATTGTAGACATATTTCATTCTACGTGTATGGTATTCAATGTTAATATGGTAAATAAACAATTATTGTACCAAAATGTGGTTTTTATAAAAATCAATGTATTATTGAATGCTAATTCTTCCAAGGATTTGCATAGTCTTACTTTACAAATCCTTGATTTAAAAGAAGAAAATTTGTGTTATGTCATCTGTTGCAATATATATTAAGTATTACATGTGGACAGGATGTTCCCAAGAAAATTAAGGTATTCCAAATAAGTTATACACACCCCAGGGTACATGCGACTGTCATATGGAAAATTACTGCTTTACCTGTAATCAAGGATTTGTATAGTAAGATCTTACTATACAAGTCCTTGCTGTAATCAGCTATGCAACTTATCAGTTGACTGATCACTACAATTTTAAAAGTTTGTCGTTAGATCAAAATAAAAATCTTCATTTTAATTAAAAATTTTAGAACTAAAATAGATTGTCTTCATCAAATTATGAAGTGAAGTAATTTAACATTATGGAAAGCCGATAATTTCCCAAATATTAAAAAAAAATTATTATCTACTCCGGGAAAACTGTATTTATAAAGGGTCCTATCAATGATTTCTATAGAAATGGATCTCACACAGACATGCATGATTAAGATCTAAACATTTTTTTTTTGTTCTTTGATTTCTTGAGAAAAAATCAGATTTGATCCAGTAAAAAGTATCAACAGATCAAGCTATCTAAAATATAGCAAAGGTATTATACTATAGATTTTACCAACGAACAAACGACAATTTTCAACCGTCTAACAATGAGCCGTTTATACTTGATGTGTAGAACGTTCAAAATAACCTATATAGACATACCCATAGCCAGACCCATAGACAGATCCATAAATAGACCCATAGACAGACAGACCCATAGAAAGACCCACAGACAGTCCCATAGACAGACAGACCCATAGACAGACACATAGACTGACCCATAGATAGACAGACCCACATATATACATACCCATTGACAGACCCACATATATACATACCCATAGACAGACCCATTAACAGACCTACAGGCAGACCCATAGATATATATATACCTATAGACAGACACATAGACAGAAAGACCCATAAACAGACCTACAGACAGACCCATAGATATACATATCCATAGACAGACCCATAGATATACATGCCCAAAGACCGACTCATAAACAGACCGAACCATAGACAGACCCATAGATTGACAGACAAATAGACAGGCCCATAGACAGACACATAGGCAGACCTATAGACATACACATAGACAGACAGACAGACCCATAGGCAGACCCATAGACAAACCCTTAGACATACCCATAGACAGACCAATAGATAGACAGACCCATAAACAGACAAACCCATTGATATACAGACCTATATAGATAGACAGACCCATAGACAGACACATATCATTTTCTTTGACACACAACGGATACGATCATGCACCGTCGTTGTCATATTATATGGCACGAAGAAAATTAGTTATACCTATTACGCCTATAATGCATAGGATGTGTAAGGAAAAGACACATATGACAGTCATGTTCTGTAATTGATTGATTGATTGATTGATCGTTGTTTGTTGACATCGAAACCTCTAGTGGCAAATATTTCGTGTATGTTTAGAATTAGAAATTATCAACAATTAATACAAAATTGCTGGTAAGTTTTGCAAACTAACAACATTAAAGAGTTGTTTGAAGGGTTCTTAAATGTGGCACCTTCCCTATAAAAGTCACTTGCTGCGTATTTATATAGCCAGCTCAGCCAGTTGCCCAATCCACTTTAGCAAGTTTATTTTATTGCCAGACTAGATCTAGAGAAGTCCAGGAATGACCATATTTCAATACCTCACTCAACCCTTTGGCATGTTTGGGTAATATGTATTTTCAAATCTGGCATATAAACTGACTGCAACTTAACAAAGACATTTGAATGCCGATAGGTCCAAATTTAATAGACTACAATGTTTTATTATTTCTTTTACATTAACAGATTAATGAAATTATGTTTTATAGGATTCGATTATTTAAAGTGTAGCGATTGTCTATAGTTCTAATATTTCTTTTCATATTATCGGATAACACCCTATAGTAAGTAAACGCTAAACATCGTATCTGTTCAGCTGTCAGCTATCACGTTTGTATTTGTTATGATAAAACAAAACAAAATTACAGACCCATAACTCTTCTGGTATATAAAAAAAATAATGATAACTAATTGTTGAAATTTATTTTGTTATACACGTATGAATAGAATGATATGTGGGTTATAGGTCAATGAGACATTTACCCGACGACACAAATAGCAAAAAGACATCTAGAGGGATCTATTTTTGTCAATGGGTTGTTGTCTCACATAAGTTTACCCAACATTCTCTTTTGTTAGTAATGTCTATTGTGTAGATGGGTTGCTGTCTCATATAAGTCCATCCTACATCTCCTTTTTTTCAAAATCAACTGTCTTTGGATTAATTTTGTAGATGGGTTACTGCCTCATGTAAGTCCACCTAACATCTTTTATTCAAATTGAACTGCCGTTGGCTTTATTTTGTCAATAGGTTGCCGTCTTAAATACGTTAAACCGACCTCTTCGTTTGTTTAAATTGCACTGTCTTAATTTTTTATCGGGTTGTTATACGTATATTTAACTGTGACATCTTCTTTTATTCATATGGATATTTATATTTATTTTGTCGATGGGTTGCTGTCTTACATACGTATACCAATAGATAGACAGACCAATAAACAGACAGACCCTTTACGTCAATTTTGTTGATGGATTATTGTCTCACTTTACAATACGTAGAACTGACAACTTCTTTCATTCATACTGAATTGTCTTTTGGTGTATCTTGTCGTCCGCTGCTTGTCTCATTGATGTATATCCGGCATCTCAAATTCTTCATAGCACACAATAAAATTAGACTATGTACTTAAAAATGACTTTATGTATACTAATAACCAGTATAATACCTGGTTGCTATTTTCATAGTTTGAATTTTCTCTCAGTCTGTATGCCATCTGTTAATGTATCCAACTAAAGTAAAACATATTCGTATACGTTTTATAAATATGTTATTGCTTTCTTGGAAAAATAAGTGTGACTTTGCATTATAATTTGGTTATTGTATGCTATCTAAGAAACAGGCAATATGTCCTCAATTTTAGAATTCATTCATACATTTTTGTATTATTCAAAACTACCAGTCATCAGTCGTTGAATCTTTACGACTTTTCCATCAAAGACTCCTATGATTGAATATTGGTACCGAAAAGAAACATGAACATAATTATAATGGTCTCGAAAAGAGAGACGAAAGATACCAAAGGAACATTCAAACTCATAAGTCGAAAATAAACTATGGCAAGAACGAAAAGACCAAAAGACAAACACCAGTAAACATAAAACAACATAGAAAACTATATACTGAGCAATTTGAATTCCACAAAAAAACCCTAGGTGATGACATGAGCTCCAGAAGGTTCAGCAGATCCTTAATTAACATATAATATAAGATTGAACAAAAATTCAGATCACACAAAATTAAGTGATTCATTGAAAATCATATAGGAAATCCAGATCAACAAAATGTTTAATAAGGTAAGTCGAATTTTGGAACAGTCAACCTTCATTTCTTACCATTCAAAATCATACAAAAACGCATCGTCACTGGATGAATTTGCAACTAACAATTCATTGGTAGATGTGTCATATTGCAGAGGCTGTGGGCATCTCAGTCCATCTTCCCTTGATCAGAGTTGTCTGTAGCGTTGTCCATCAGAAGAAATGGCGAACACATTGTGAGTACTACTCCCCACTACAAACACGTTACCATCATTGTCTACAGAGATACCTAGTGGAGACCGCAGAAGACTTTTATCACAGAACGTCCACAGTATGATACCATGGTATTCACAGCAGGTTACACTGTCATGTGTATAGTTTGTGTAGAACAGTTTATCACCGAATTTTGTAACGTACACAAAGATAGAATGTTTGTTATAAATAACATTTGTAATTGGTTCATCACTAAGACTGATCATCTGTAGTCCTTTCTCCCCGGCACAATTAAACAAATGTCCATCTTTGTATACTACCCCATCATTGTTGGAATCAACTTTTAATAAATTCCTCAGATTTTGCTTCTTTAAGTCGATTATATTAATCTGATTTAAATTGGCGGATGTTACAGCAATAGAATCATCACCAATAAATACCACATCAAACGTTTGACCAATTGTCTTTTCTCTTTTCAGTCCTGCCTTTTTTTTGATAGTTTATCCTGACTTTTTTTACATAAATTGTCATCCTGCCTTTTTTTTAATTTTTTTTTTGCCATGTTGCTCATCCAGCCTTTTTTTACTCAAAACTCCTGTCCTGCCTTTTTTTTTTTTTAATTTCATTCTAATTTAATATTCTCGACGACTTCCAGAAGGAGTGTTCGAATTCGTTAAAGGCGTTGGAAGTTTTGATGTCCTTTGTGAGTTCATTTATGTCGGTTAAACTTTTACAATCGTTGTGAGATTTCACACATTTCTTGCAGCATGGACAATCGTGTTTTCTACAGAACAACTCGTATTTCTCATTATGAAGTTTGCAGCTCTGAGCTATTTGCAGGACTTCGGTCGGTAACGTTTTGTATTCGGTGATGGAAACGGTTTCATGGTTTTTTGTTGCCTTGGAAACCGTGTGATGATTCTTGCTGTCCTCACATAGTCCTTCGTCACATTCGGAACACCATACTACTGAATGTTTGGTAATCTGAGGATTATCACAATCACCACAAATACTCCAATTGGTGGCCATAATCCTACAATAGATTGCATGTACTTAAATTAATACTTCATCCTATTCAAATCGTCATCTGAAAATGATTACTATACCGCGAGATTCTTGTGAAATTGACAGTTTGTCTACTTCCCATCGAGCGACAAATATTAGTAGTTCGTGCGTGTTCAGTACGAGCACACATTAATCAATACAAGAAAAAAGTAGGTTTTGTAATGTGGATGGACAAGTATTACCAGGCAGTATTTGAATTTTATTTGAAAAAGAGGGTAAAAATTTAGCCTCGCATCAGGTCCCCTACAGACATCTCAATAATTGATGCTATGGTTCTTTAACCTGCCCAGGACATGACATGATCTCATTGTATTTAACTTTCCTATTCCGGTCGCACGTTGCTGTGTATTTATACATCTCGCATGGATTTACCCCTGATAATGGGTCTAACTGTCGGGAGGAGAAGTACATGTGACCATATCACAAATCAAAACAGTTGGTGTAAGCGGAAAACACTATACCTAAATTTTGAAGTGTGGATCTAGGGTCATTACAAGCGTGTTTGTTTTTGGTAGTTGAGCAAAACTGTATTGAAATTTAAAAATGTTAATTATGCTGAAATGTCTCGCCTACTTCACTGATCATGATTGAAGTTATATTGAAAGTCTTTTAGATTAATGTTTAGTAGAAGTATCATACAAATTTTAAATGATCAATAATCGAAGTAAATGAGGTTATGGTCAGATGCAATGGCATTTTTGTTTTTGTTTTTACAACTATTAAACCTTTTCTCGTGTATATTCAATATATTTCTGCAATACGTAACCATTCAAAAACTTAAATCAATTTCAGGTGATGATGATGATGATGATGATGATGATGATGATGATGATGATGATGATGATGATGATGATGATGATGATGATGACGACGATTACGACGACGATTATGATGATGATGATGATGACGACGACGACGACGACGACGACGATTAGGATGATGATGAGGAGGAGGGAGGAAAAGTAGGACTAAGACGACGACGATAATGACGATGACGATGATGATCATGATCATGATCATGACGATGACGATGATGATGATGATGATGATGATGATGATGATGATGATGATGATTATGATGATGATGATGACGATGGTGAGGATGAGGAGAATGAGGATGAGGATTTTCACGTCCAGGGGCAAATATTATACGCATCCTGACATGTATTAGACTGACATGACGAGGTAGATTTTTACGGGCTATAGTTCAAAAAGTGACCGACCGAACGTACGACGTGCTGCTCTACTCTGCAGACACGCTATTCAGGCTCATAGTCAATAACTCGCATTATTGTCGCATGCTTAGCCAAAAAGCAGCAAATACCAGTTTTTCTCTAGTCTTTGGGTTCGTGCACAGAAGTAAAACACGACGGCCAAAATCAGCTTTTTTATCACTTCACGCTTGTCGTACTTTGAATATATACTAGTAAAAAAAGTTTAGAAAGAGATATTTTTAGTTTCATATTTCAAAAAAACTATACTTCTAAAGAAACAATAAGTTTTGTAATAAAGGAAACTAACCAAAAGGTTCAATTTTTACTCGAAAAAAATTCGATTATAAAATTTATTTCTGCAACTTTGGAAGTTTTTCATATACAGATTTTGTAATTAAAACAACTGTTGCTAAACTTTATTTACCCTGGTCTTTATTATAATTGGTAAATAAGTTATACCACCATACATGTAATTTTAAATATAAAAAGGGAGAAAACTGTTCTTTACGGTCAACGTACCCTTGCAATCAAATTTACGTGTTATGACATGTCGCAACTAACAATTTAGTAAAAATAATTTGTCAATATCTTATACGGTTTTTGAAAAGAACTGAAAATAAGCCAAAATCAAAATTTTGAATATGACCTTGACCTTTGACCTTGAACTAATTTTTTTGGACCAAGGACCTCAAATCAAGAGACCCTACGTCTCTATCACTTATGGTTTACCAGTTAGAAATGCATATCACTTATATCAAATGAATAAGGGGTAATAACTCTCATATGGAGTCTCCCGATAGCTTCGATCCAATGGTCATCCTAATCCTGAAGATGTAACGAGCAATTTGGTAAAATAAATTTATCGTAAACTTTTACGGTTGCGAAGGAGTAGTGGCCACATGAAAAACAGAGTTTGGGGAGATAACTCCTACAACGTAAAGTGTTCGGTTAAACAGTGTCAGTTTCAAAAGCGTATAAACTGTGCGATATCATATACCAAATATCTAAAAAATAATAATCAGAACAAAATCATAGGTCTTTCCACGGAAAAGTGGAAAGACAAAACTCCATACAAAATCGAAGGGAACAATAAAAAAAAAGTTGAAATAGGCAACATTGGTTAATAAAGTTAAACATTAAAGAATTAAACGGAAAGTTGATCAAAATGAAATAAAAAAGTATACAAATTCTACATTATTTAGTTAAATTGTGTGTGTGTGTTTGTGTCCGTGTGGATATCTGTGTAAATTGTGACAGTATTATACAGAGAAACAATGACACAAATTACATACCTAAATTAGTCTTATAGATAGAACATTAAAAAGTTTCTTTAGAAAACATGGAGAAGGTGAATGCTCACATGATGTAATGTTTGTAAGACAGGATACATAATTCTTTAAATAAATATAACAGAGATAATGTTTCCTCCGAATTTATTGTTAGTATACAACAGTGAACAAACAAACTCTCACACATCTGATTGACCTGGCTTTCTTTTATATGCGTATCAGGATTTTATTGAACTTTATTTATCAGATTATTGTAAACAGCTGTTCTATATTAATTAAGTGCATTTTTTCATTTAATCATATAGATAAGGGTCTGAATGTGTAGAGGTCCTTCATTTCTATACTCGTTAGTTTTGAATTCATTTTCCTCTATTAATTATTTTAGACCCTATTTTTACCAATCCACCTTATGTGTCGACTAGGTTTTCGTTCCTTTTCGTAATATGATTTTAATTCATATTACTTTTTATCAGACGATTTTAAACAGCGTTTTTGTAATGAAGCAAGTGAGTATTAAATATATAGATAAGGGTCTGAATAGTGATCCTTCGTCATTTCTCAGTATATTCGTTATTTTTAAAGCCATTTTACTCTTATTTTTTAGCACCCAAGGGTGAATGAGAAATAAAAACCTGGTCACTATTGGTTATCTTCCGACCGGTAGGGCAGTTAAATCCTTGCTTAAGTGGTCCTTCAATTTGTTTTGCGGGATGTATAAATACTCAGCCACGTGCTAAAGTGGTCTTCCTGTTGGTATTGCGGGATGTATAAATACACAGCCGTGTTCTAAAGTGGCCGTCCTGTTGGTTTTGTGGGATGTATTAATACACAGCCACGTGCGATCAAAATGGGAACGTTAAAGCCGATACCTCGTGTAGAGAAAGTGTCCCGCTTACTACACGTAAAGGGTCTGTTAATTTCAGTCCCAATTCTATATAGTTTTACCCTCATTTTTCTCTGGCAGTCCGAATTTCCTGCCTTTCATCCCGGTCGACCCCTATTACAGGATATACCTATAGTAATTATGTTAATTTGTTCTCGTCCTAAATATGCATGAAATATTTGTCACTAGAAGTAAAGCAAACAAAACGCAATCAATATATTCTTTAGATTTGGGTCTATTATTCCTTAGGAAAGACATTGATATGCTTTATTACAAATTGACACTTGATTTAAGTACTAACCCCTCCCCTGTAATTTTAATTATGAAATTTTCGAAACAAATGGATCCAAAGGATCGGTCGACAACTATACTTTATTCATAAGATAGTTTCTTCAATATACCGTTGTTATTCATATGTGGGAGCTAGTAGCTAGAGCATCCATCGAATGAGTGTATCCAAACTGAGATACTGGGCATTGCACACGACCTTGTCTTCCTATGCTGACTTTGACATCATTTTCTGTACAGTAATTTTCTTTACAGTACACCCATCGATTTTAAATTTGAATTATTTCTTTGTTACATATTAAGACAAAAATCATGATTTCATTCTAGTTGTGAAATCAGTAGAATATAACTTCATTCGTGTTGTGAAATCAGTAGAATATAACTTCTACTTCGCACTAGATCGTTTGCCATTAAAGCTGATAAATAAAACTCGGTATTGGATAGCTTCAATATTAAGGTACAGACATTTCATAGACACAAAGACAAAAATATTTAATTCATGAAATATTCGTGAGTTATTGCAGTATTTTAAACTAGTACCATTTTTGTTAAAAAAATATGAGAACATCCTTTCGCATTGGATTTGTGCATGCGAAAAAGTAACTACCCCTGGTTTATTTTTATCACGGTCAGTCTGGAGATATTGGCAATATAAGAGAGTTCAGAATGAAAAGTAGTTTATAGAATTACCGATTAAAAGGTGAGACATTTGGGTTTTTTATGATATAACATTGGACATCTGGTTTTGGAAATATCGATTGTTACGTATGGTTTAACGTGGGTCATTAGTTTTTACCCCCGATATCACGTGACATTTGATATTAGTTGTTATTGGCTTTGAACAAGCTTTCAGTAACTGTGAATATTCTCAGATCTGTACTATGGGTCTTTTTTGTTGTTAGGGATGATGGATGGATATATACCCTGCCACTTAAGCTTCCTGTCTGTGTTTTGTTTGATGTTTATCTTTGTATCGATCTGATGAGTTAAGCCTTTTTCAACTGAATTTTATAGTTGTTCTTATGTTGCGCTGTAACATTTCGCCACATTCGTTATGTGCTTATCCCAAGTCAGGAGCATGTAGTTCAGTGGTTGTCGTTTTTCACGTCCGTCATATTTGGTTTG